GGTATATTCAAAAGAAGTCAGATAGTTACAGAATGTCATGTTTTCAGAATTATCTATCAATAAAAAAATCTCATGTAATATAAAAAGTGAAAGCTCATTAACAAAAGTTGACCTTGTCAGCCCCACCCCCAGAGCACCCTGAGACAGCAATTGAGACTGGACGTGGTGGCACATGCCTGTAATCCCAGTGCTTGGGAGGTTGAAAACAGGAGGACCGCTACAAGTGGTCTGTGTAGTGAGACCCTGTAGACCCTGTACTAAATACATAAAACAAAAAGAAAGAAAAGTTGACTTAACTGCTGAGCAGAGTGGTGCACACCTATAATCTGAGTACTCTGGGAGGCTGAAGCAGAAATATTGCAAATTCAAGCCCTTCCTACACAATTTAGTGAGACCCTGCCTCAAAATTAAAATTTTAAAGGGAAGGGGCTGGGGAGGTGGCTCAGTGGAATAAGCGCTTCCCTGGCAAGTACAAGGGCCTGAGTTTAATCCCTGGTTATACACACACACACACACACACACACACACACACAAAATTTAAAGGGTTGGGGACTTAGCTCACTCAGTCCAATCCTCACTACCAAGAAGAAAAGGTTGGTGGCTTTAGAAGACATGCTTGTGATCAGTCTGGCCTTTGCTGGTGTTTCATTCAGTTTCTGAAACTTGGTATCAAAGAACTTTCGGGGCTGGCGAGATGGCTCAGTGGTCTAAAGCACCTACTTGGAAAAAGCTTGGCAAAGCACAGGGACCGCGGTTCGATCCCCCAGCACCACATGCCAGCCAGCCGCGCCCCCGGTGGGCTGAGCTGGCCACACACACACACAATAAATAAATAAACTTAAAAAAAAAAAAAAAAAAAAACAAAGAACTTTCAATGCTAGCATTCTTTAGTATTCCAAAGAAGAAAATCAAAGGCACAGCATGATTTATTTAGCCTGGGGCTCATTTGGGTTTAATTGATAGGCTGGTGCTTCTAGCTTCTAGGGCTGGCAGAGATACCACCCGCATCTGCCCTACCCTTCCAAGTACAGTTAATCATCCCTCCTCTGTGCCTCTTGTTTTGTACTCTGTTTTGGTCTTTACCACATTTTGCTTAAAAAAAAACAACTAATGCATTTATCTTTATCCTCCCTAGCCGTACTTTATTGCATATTCTTTGGAGGAAGAACAGCCTGGCTTTGTATTTGCAGTCCTTCACACATACCTCTGCTTTTCAGTCATTGACCAGATGTCTAGAGCAAATGTGTAATAATAGCTCTCCCAGTCTGAAGATCTCCTGAAGGAATAAGATATTTGCCTTAACATATCAGAATTATGTTTTTAAAGGGAGCTGTTTTCACAGGCAGACCCTGAAACACAGTAATGTTTTGCTACAGCAAGCAAAAACACCTGGAATGACACCAGGATTTGGAAGCACATTTATTTATATCAATGGGCACTGACAGGGATCTTTTGCAGAATATCAGGCCCTGATTTCTAGTGTTCTAGGGCTTATATGAGATAAGCAAGCATAAAGTGCAGAGGCAGGATGGCTTGTCAATTGGAGACTGGTTTGTAGATGTGCATTGTAGTGACCAGCTACTCATCACAGTGATCACTCCTTTCTAAGAACTGAAACAGGAACTGATGCCTGGGCAACTAAGAAACTGACGTGTACTGGCAGGGAGAGTGGGCAGCACTTTCTGTTACAGTTTGAAGAGTATCAGTGATAGAAAAACAGCCTTTCAACAGAAGGCTTTGAATTCATTCCAAAGCCCCTGAACTGTTTCCACAGAATTGTGTTTTGGGCATGGGCTGCCATTTTGGAAAGGCACTGGGTGCCAGATTTGAGATTCACGTAGCTTTACATGGGGGTGCACTCCCAGAAGCCCAGCACTTGGGAGGCTGCCCTAGAAGCATCCCAAGTTCAAATGCAGTCTAGGCCACTTAGCCAGCCCCTGTCTCAGAATAAACTATGAAGGAGAGGGGATGAGGTTGCAGCTCACTGTGAAGGCCTTGGGATCAGTTCCCAGGACAACAAGAAACAAAGGAAGAAGGAAGGGGAGAGCAAGTGAGGGAAAGAAGAGCAAATACTGGACTGGGGAGGTGGTTCAGTAGAATAAGCGCTTCCCTGGCAAGCACAAAGGCCTGAGATCAATCCCCGGTTCCGCCAAAAAAAAGAAGAAGAGCAAATATCACTTTGTACTTCCCCACATATGCTTATGTAAACATGCAAACATGGGTAATACTATCCTTACTGGAGGACTGTGATAATATACTTTTCAATAGGAGATTATAAAATTATGCAGATTTCTGATTATGATGATGGAGGCAGCTTCCTTTAAATACACATGATAGCTAAGCATGTTGGCGAACTCCTACAGTTCCAGCTACTTGGGAAGCTGAGGCAGGAAGATTGCTTGATTAGCTCAAGAATTGAAGACCACCCTGGGCAATGTGGTAAGGCCCTGTCCCTAGAAACACACAAATATGGCAGGCACTGTTCTATGCAGACTTTATCAAAAAATCTTTACCACTACATGGCAGGTGCTGTTATTATCTACATTTCATAGATGAGGACCCTGAGGACCAGAGGTTGAATAACTTATACAGATTCACACAGCTAGTAAAGTACCTACCTGGTATTCATTATAACACTCATAATTTCTAACATGTGTATTCCTTTCAACGATGGAAAAAGAATATCCAGATAAATGTTAATGAAAAGGCAGTTCAGAATTGAATATATGGTATGCTAACTTTTATTTTCGAGCTTTTGAAAAAACGATAGCACACACTGGAAGAACATAAAAGAAATAATAGCAGTGAATTTTTCAAAGAACGGGATGGAGCTTGGAGTGGCGGCATGTGCCTGCAATCCCAGGACTAGGAGGGCTGAGGCAGGAGGGTCACTGGGAATTCCAACCTGGGCTACATGGTGAATTCAAGGCCCGCCTGAACTACAAAGTGAGCCTGTGTCTCAAAAACTCAATAGGATGGACGATCTTTACCTTTTACTTTATGTAATTCTTTTTTCTGTTTTGATATTTTATATCTATTTCTTAGGTTGTTGTTGTTTTTTCTCGTGGTACCGGGAATTGAACTCAGGGCCTTGCGCTTGCCAGGCAAGCGCTTATTCTACTGAGCTATCTCCCCGGCCCCAAAAATTTTTACTAAAATAAGTGGAGCTCTTATTTTGAAAAGTTGAAGTACTTAACAAAGACTAAGCCAAATTCCTGGGTAAGACCTTCTTATTGGTCACTGCTTTCAGGCTGCATCTTGGTCCCCTGTCCCAGTGTGCTACCTGCAGTTTGCTTTTAACCCAGGACCACACTCTACTTCAGAATGCAATTCCTCATTGCTTAGTTCCTCATTCCACCTGGTGGAATGATTACTTATTTTATTATTTTAAATTGCCTAGATTTTTTTTGAGGGGTAGTTCCAGAAGGTTTTATAACTGTTACAGTGAGATATAGTTAAAAATGCACGTGATGAGAAAGAACTATAAATATGGAGATCATAATTGTATAGCCCATTCTCTCAGGCTTTCACAGAGAGCACATTGGCCAAGCAATGGCTGTGACTCATCCACATGGCTGACACTGACAAAGGTTCTACAATCTGAGGTACAGGATCCCAGGATAAATCCTGAGGGGATTTCACTGACCGTCTCAGACCCAAAAGCTATAACTCTGCTTTACCTTGGTCTTAACCGTCCAGCAGAAAAGTATAAAAACGAAGTATAAGAAGTAAAGCCATGCTGTTATGCTGAGCTGTAGGGGACTCAGGTCAACAGTTTCTGACATTGCCAGTGAAGCAGAAGACCCAATACTATTATGGGATACTGGACTCTTTTAGAATATTTTGCTGAGTTAACACACCTATAATAGTCAAATAACGGAACTAAACAAAAAAGGGGATGCAGATGAATGTCCATTTTGTATCTGTGTATTCAAAATGGTTAGGATAGATATATAGTTACATTCTCTTAATGAATAGAGGGATTTGCTCTAATAGTGTTTGTAACTAGGATATCATGGAATAAGGATTTTGTTTTTTTTTTTTTTTTTTTTGGTTCCTCGAATGCCTTCAGGGCACTTTTGGCCAGCGGGAGAGGTGTGAGGTTCAAACTCCAGCAACCTGAGGCTGACAGCTTTGTGGAAGCTGCCACTTAAAGGCCTGAGCTAGGGCCAGGCCCCCTGTAACTAGGATATCATGTCTGCATCTTGTACAGCAATTAACCCTAGGAAGAATGTATGGAGCGTGTTAATTATTGAAACTGTCCTACCAACTTGGTTTGAAACTGACTCATTACTATTTGTTTCTCAATAAAATTATGGAAAAAATTATATAGCCTTATATACTTCTGTTATTGAGCAGTGGCTTCAAATCCATAAACTGGCAAAAAGAAAAAAAATCAAAATTCTGTAATTCTTGTGACTTGACAAAATGACACAGAACCACAGCCTTTTTGTTTGTAAAAATATTTTTCTAATTCTAAATTTTCAGAACTTGTTTCATGGATCTTTTTATACAATGTACTTTTATGGTTGTTTCTTGTTTTTTTGTATTTGTTCCCTGCCCAACTAAATAATAAACTTACTTAGAAAAAACTCCATTTTCTTTCTTTTCTAAAACACTCCATCTTCTGTATTATTTTTGTTCCATCTCTGCCTAAATAAAGTGTACATTATTATGGTTGAAATGAGAAATTGAGCAACAATTCCAACATAGCCACATCTTGTGGATTATGTTACCACAGCTTTTCAAAGATTTAGTCTTTGCATAGCTTAGGAGTTGATAATTACTTTCATCTTCCTCAGTAGGGAATTGTCTCTGATAGCCTTCCAAACAATCATAATTTATTTCTTTGCATGTAGCTTTTACTGAGTTCCATCATCTTGTAACCCCTAATTTCCATTTGAGTACGTGGTATGAAAAGTTGGAAGCTTGTTTGAACTTTTGTTTTATGAAAATTCAGATCTCTTTAAATATGGCCTATACCTTTTGCTTTGTTGTAGGCCAGGTTATCAAGGCCTGGGACATCGGAGTGGCCACCATGAAGAAAGGGGAGCTCTGCCATTTGCTCTGCAAGCCAGAATACGCGTATGGCTCGGCCGGCAGCCTCCCTAAAATTCCTGCAAATGCAACTCTCTTTTTTGAGGCAAGTGTGTGTTGTTACATGTCCACATCTGCTGCACTGTAGGCCGCCTGGGAGCAGGAGCCACGCTTACTATTGAGACTCATGTCCAGCATACTTATTTTAAAGCTCAGCCTTCTGCATTGTTTCCCACAAACCCAAGAGTGTGTGCTCATGTGTTCTTAGAAGTGTGTGCCTGGCACAGAGGGCATAGCCAAATAAAAGACACTGGACCCAGAACTAAAAGCTCTGGTCAGCAGTGTAAATATGGCATACTCAAAATTAATAGGATGGAAGTGGTGGAAATAAATGTTGAATGTGCCTACATCAAGTTGTAAGGTATTTTTAAGGTTTATAAATGTTTATAAAGATTGCAGGTGTCATAGGTTTTCTTTCTTCTTGTGCTGAATTCAACAGCCATGTTTGGCAAAACTATTCTAATGAGGCAAAATACACGTTTAGTCAGTAGTAGGCCAGATACCTAGGATTTATTCTCACGTTTTAAGAAGGGAACTTCATAAATCTGGGGTGGAAAAGTGGTGGCCTTGGAATCAGACAAAATAGTTCTGCGCCGGTACCTTGTCACTCTGACTCTTTGCCCACAAGGCTGTTTTCCTAGTATTTCCTGTCTGTCTTGCACTGCAGCCCCACAGGATGTAGTCCTAGACATTATCATTACACAGAGCTCTTTCCAAGTATTGAAAAGCACAGTGTTCCTTTTCTCTACTTCTCTAATAACTACAATGCACAGATTTTTTAAAAGACTTAAAAAAGGCAAACTAGTTGTTTTTGCCTTCACATATGTTAAACTGATTTTGTTTGATCTTTTCCTGGTTAAGTCTCTTTTTCATTTCTAGATTGAGCTCCTTGATTTCAAAGGAGAGGATTTATTTGAAGATGGAGGCATCATCCGCAGAATCAAACGGAAAGGAGAGGGATATTCCAACCCAAATGAAGGAGCCACAGTAGACAGTAAGTGTTGCTGTGAGAGGGAGCTGCCCCTTAAAAGTTGAGCTCCTTTTATGCAGATGAAATGGAAATTTTTTTTTAAATCTCATAATAGAAATAAACATGCTAAATATATTACAAGAACAGTTTTAGAGGGCCGGGGAGATAGCTCAGTAGAATAAGTGCTTGCCTGGAAAGTGCAAGGTCCTGAGTTCAATCTCCAGTACCGCAAAAAAAAAATAAATAAAATTAAAAAAAAAAAAAAAAAAAAAAAAGAACAGTTTTAATAAAAATTAATTTGAGGTATGTGTACCAGGTACCCTGCCACCCTCTACAAACTCAAAACTAAATAAAAACAATCACAACCATTAAGAAATTCTCAGTGTGGACCCCTTAGGGTGCCAAAAACTAACGTAGTGTTGTCTTATATATTTATTCTTTTATTTCGCACAGTGACCTTATGAGATAAGATTATTATCCGCAGATAAGGAAAGTAAATGCAGAGATGTCACACAGATTGTCTGAGTTTGCAAAGTTACTAAACAGACATAGATTGCAGTCCCTTCAAGACTCAAGCCCATCTCCTTGACTGACATACAGATATAAAACAGTAATCCAATAGATTAAAACTGATTCTATCCTGAATCAGGAGAATTGGGTTTAAGTCTTCCTTTGCTAATTATTGAGCAACCTGGTACAATTTCATTTCTTCCTTTGTTCACTGGGAGTAAGGACGCCTGAGAGCTGAGGTGACTGGTGGTTCTTCCTCCTTGCTGTGCTGCTTATCACTTCATACTTCAGTGAGCACTTCCCATCTGTCCTGGCATACAGTGAGTGCCTGAGGACCTAGATCTTTTTTTACCTTTTTTTGGTTTCAGCTACAGTGCCAGCCACATTTGTGTCCAGTAAAGGCTTTTTACATTATAAATGTCTAAAAGATGCCATTAATTAAAGCTGAAATCCTTCAAAAGAAAGTTGTGAGGAAACAAAGAAATATTTCCATTTAGAAAAAACAAAAGAAAGCCAAGCATGATTGTGCACACCCATAGTCCCAGCTATTCAGGAGGCTGAGGCAAGAAGATCACTGTGCTCAGAAATTTGAGACCAGTGTGGACAACACAGTAAGATCCTGACTCAAAAAAAAAGCCCTAAGCCATTAAGTAAAAGCATGAACTATTATTATAAATGACCTACTTAAAGAGTCACTTAAGACATAACTAGAATGTCTAAATTTCCTGTTTTTAGTATTGTGTGTTCTATTTTAGATCCATATTTCATTTCATCACTACATGTCAAATAAGTTAATTTAAATTTAGTACTTGTTTTATTAGAAGCAGTTATAAATATTTTAACTGTAATAACGTGTTTAGATCATTGTTATCCATGGTAAATTTTAGATTAAATGAAGAGGAACTTAGATATACATGGGAGAAATAGACCTAAGCCTGGGGTCAAGAGAGAGGATCCAGGTTTAGCTTCAACATTTGCATCCTCCTTAGGTAGTGGGGCAGGGCTGAACCATGCCCTAACCATAGTAAGATTCTAAATTACTATGAAAGTTATGGGAATGATTGAAAATTATCTTTATTAGTAGGCACTTTAAAAACTTGTTTATGTCATGTATTTTAAATTTGATTATGAAAATTTGCACATCTCTACAAGTTTTTCTTCTTCTTTTTTTTTGGTTTGTTTTTTGGCAGAACCGGGGATTGAACTCTGGTCCTTGCGCTTGCCAGGGAAGTGCTCATTCCATTGAGCCATCTCCCCAACCCCAGTTTTTTCTTATAAGAACATTCCAGTTCAGTAATTTGTTTTTAAGGGGCCAGGGAGATAGCTCAGTAGAATAAGTGCTTCCCTGGCAAGCGCAAGGGCTTGAGTTCAATCCCCAGTTCCGCCAAAAAAGAGAGAGAGTAATTTGTTTTTAAACTATGTCAACTAAAAGAAAAAACTTTTTCCAATTACAAACAATACCAATATAGAAATGGACTTCATGTTAGCTAAATTAAGTCTTATTTGGGGTAATGTTTTCAATAGTAGTCATATTTTTAAATTTTTGTCTTGAAATAATTCTTAGACTTAAAGAAAAGTTGCAAAACTGTTACAGAAAGTTCCCTTGTATGCTTCACCCAGCTTCCTGTAATGTTAAGATCTTACCGCGAGCCACAGGACATATATCAAAATCAGGAAATTAACATTGGTGCAATACAATTAACTGTTCCGTGGCCTTATTTGAATTTCATCAGTTACCACACTAGTGTCCTTTTCTGGTCAAAGATCAGATGTAGGATCTAGCATTGTATTTCAGTATCCTGTCTGTTGATTTATCCATCTACCTGCCTGCCTACCTATATATTTACCACTAGCTACCTGAACCCAGAGCCTGAAGCCAAGACCTCCACATCAAGCTATATCTCCACCTCTGCCCCTCTTAATATTTGAGACAAAATCTCATTGAATTGTCGAGGCAGGACTTTTGCCTCAATCCCACCAAGTGCTGGCATTACCTGTGTGCTCTTCTGTCCCTTTATTCCCCTCTACTATATGATAGGTCTTTATTTTAGTCTTTCATGACTCAGAATTTTGAAGGCAACTGACCATTTTGTAGAGTATTCCCCAATTTAGATCTGTTCTCTGCTTTAAGTGATTAGATTAAAGTTGTACATTTTTGGAAAATACCATATGTCCACCTCAGTTCATCAGCAGGAGGTCCATGATGTTGATTTCTCATTACTAGTGCTGCCAACTTAGATCATTTGGTTAAGGTAGAGACTGTCTTGTTTCTCTTTAATAAAGTTACTGTTTTTCCTTTGTGATTACTGAGTATCTCATTTGGGAGAGGCATACCAGGAGATAGTGCAGCTGTCTTGGTTTATGCCATACATATGTTCATATGGCCATTCTGGTATCTGTACATGATGTTTATATATAACAAGTGTTGTGGAATTTGATCTATAGTAATTTTTCTATTTTTTCCTCCATATTTATTAACTGAAATTCTACTATAAGAGCTATCTCTTCTCCTTTATATATATCTTCAGTATCATTATGCATCTATGGATATTTGTTTCTGTAAGTTCATTTTTATTACTTTTTTGTCTCTCTCAAATTGTCTAATATTTGACCATTAGAGACTCCTGGCTTGTTCTTCCAACATGTCCCTATTGGATGGGGGAGGGGGCTTGCTGTTGTTTTGCACTTTGTTACTTTTTTTCCTTTTTCTTCTTTTGTGGTACTGGGGTCTGAATCCAGGGCTCTTCACAGAGAAGTACATCCCCAGCCCTTTAATTTTTATTTTAACGTAAGTTCTCACTACATTGCCCATATTGGGCTTGAGCTTATGATTCTCCTGCCTCAGCCTCTGAGTATACTATGTGACCACCATATCTGGCTCCACCTTCTGACACCAGAGAATGCTCTAAGCTTGTCTTACAGTTTCCCTCCCCTGACCCTGGAATCAGCCACTTCTTCAAGGAGCAATGATTCCTTTTATTGGAGACCCAGGTGCTCAGCGGTGCTCACACTGCGGACTATTTCTTGCTTCCCACACATCTTAGCAGCCAGAGCCAGGAAACAGGTACACACATCTGCGCACACTGACGCACCAGTGCGGATTTCTGTGTCAGTCTGTGTGTGTACTGAAAACCATGCTGACAGTTCTGGTGCACGCACAGGTTGCTCTCCCTTGCTCATTTGCCACTTTTCCCTGCAGTATGTCTACAGTGGATTTACTCCCTGTGCAATCCCAGAATACTCATAAGTAATTTCAGAATTGCTAACCCTGTAAAAATGACATTTTCTAGGTTGAAGATACCCTAGATGCTTCTTTTGTCATTGCCTTCTAGTGTACATTCAAAACAGATTTAAAAACAAAACAAACAAACAAAAAAAAAAAAACCAGATTTCAACTCTGGCAAATGTTTTCGTCTGGCTCCCTTCAGTGAACTTGGGGTGCTCATGTGTGTTACAGCTTGGTTTCCACTGTTTGTTACACAGAAGTGACCAGATACAAGTGTGTTTATGTTCCTGTGTCCCCTTGTTTCCACAAAGGGTAGAATACTATAGATGGAATTTTCAAAACGTAGATTTGAATAACCCTTTATGTAATTTTGTTTTTCCTGTTTCCTAATATTTTAAGGAAGACCAATGACTAATCTTTTGTCTCTCATCTTATTAGAATGTACTTTCTGAGAAAAATAAAAATAAATGGTTTTTACTTTTTCACCCACAAGCCTTCTTTGGTTTTCTGGAACAAGTCAATTTTATAGATATTTACTGTATTGTATTTTTATTTATGAGTTAAGATGTCCTGCCTTTTCTCTTTTAAACATGTTATCCATGTAAGAGAGGAAAACAGGTTGCCCTAGGTCCTGTTTCAAACCAGGATCACCACCTTTGCTCTCAATTCTTACCAGTTTGCCTCTTCTTCATAGTATCACCTGTACTCTGCAGTTCAGCAGCTCCACAGTGAAATAGGAACAGGTCCTGATCATCCATGGCCATATGTCATTATGGACCTGTAAAGTTACTAGTATGTTTTTATATTTCCTTAGGTTTGTTTGTTTGTGACAGGTTCTCCTCATGTAGTTCAGAGTGACCTTGAACTCACTTATGTTGCCCAGGCTGGCCTCATACTCAAGGCAATTCTCCTGCCTCAGCCTCCTGTGCTATGATCACAGGCCTATGCTACCATGCCCAGCTTTTTTTTTTTTTTTTTTAG